TGGATATACTTACATCTCAGAGTTGATGTTCACTCTGGTACTCGAACCCAGCACCTTCCAGCTGACGAGACCCAAATAGGACGAAACGCGCGTCCTGGATTCCACTGCTAGCCACTATCCATCTTTGCTTACTATATTCATTGTGTTTCAATAATACAATTTATAATCAATTGTACCAATTTTGGATTACTATGTTCAAATGGAATGACTATTGTCTCATGTATGTTTATTAAATCACCATTCTGTATAATGTAATGAAAGATAAATGTTTTCTGTGTTTATCTTATTGTACCAAGTTATTTCTAATACATTCTGTATTTGTGCATGCGTACGTACGTGCGTGTTTGTACTGTACTATTATCTATGTGTTATAATATCATGTTTTATTTGTAGACATGTCTATTTTCTCTATTTAAATGAATTCGGAAATTCAGGTTATTACTATTTTATCTCAAATTTCCCATACTAGGACGAAAAGGGTCGTCCAGTGCTTCCTAGTTTACCACGGTGGTCTAGCTTTAATTGACTCATGAATTCAATTATTAAATTAATATAATCTCTACAAAATCCATCTCTCATAATTAATTTGTGTCTAATTAAATAAAGAAATTGATATTATCATAGTTGAAATCATGAGTTAATTGAAGCTAGACCACCATTGGAAAACCTGGAAGCACTGGACGGCCGTTTCGTCCTATTATAGGACTCCTCAGCAGTGCGCATCAACGATCCCGCACTCGTGAGATTCGAACCCAGGACCTACCGGTCTCGTACCAGAGCACTTAACCGATAGACCACTAACTCAGCCGGCATCCAACGGTGTTAATGTCAAACATCAACCAATCCACGATGTTTGAGCAGCCATTCACCAATTGTCTTCGGTGAATTGATATCTCTACAACAGACTTGGTCGAACTCCTCTGGTCACTATTAGTCGATACATAGTACTCACAATCTGATTGCTTGGTGATTGCATTTTTTTCGAATTTTCCCCATAGAATTAGTCATATGTTGTATTACGTCATTATTAACTGAGATTTGAGTGAAGATTTTAACATAAAATTTAAATCAAAAAATAAAACTAAGTAACTATATTTTAGTATATGTGAAAACCGATTGGAGCAACGAAATGCATTTCAGTATAAAATTACACAGTATCTAGATAAAATATGAGAACCTTACATTGGATACTTCATTTGCAAAATCCCATCATTTGTCCTTCATATTCTGTATGATTCTTTCAAGTTACAATTCGTTTTTGTTTTCTCTTCAATTTGATCTTCATGGCCTGCTGCCATGGTTTCTATGATCAAACCTGGTTTAGATAATCTGAAGTACGATTCCTTGTGAATATAGGTCATTCTTGTTTACGATTATTGGAAAACTTACATCTTTCTTTTTTTTCTTGAAGCTTCCTGTGTTAGAATGGTATACAATAAAATGAATACCTTTTCACTCAATGTGCAAATTATTCAGTATATCATTCGTTTTATATTTGATTCCGTTTAATATATTTGTAACAGTTTTACAGTATAACATATTTTAGGTATGAATTTAGCGTGATAGTCATTCAATATGTATTCGGTTGCATAATCCGAATGTAAAATCCATTCCGTATTCTAACCTAGGACCTTTAGTTCTTGGTTGAGATCACGAACTGGTTGATGTCAGACCATCATTGAAAGCCTGGAAGCACTCGACGGCCGTTTCGTCCCATTGTGGGACTCCTCAACAGTGCACACCCACGATACCGCTCCTGGGATTCGAATCCAGGGCCTTCGGTGTCGCGCGTGAGCGCTCGACCTCCAGACCACTAAGCCGGGCGACACACAATGGTGTTAATGTCAATGGATCAGCATTTACTACCTCCATTGATTCATAATTTGACTCAATGGTGATCTAATCACATTGGATAGGACTCTCACTCCGTGTGTGGTAGAGCTTTCTTGGTCAGGTAACTGCGTGAGGAACACCACTTACTAATTAAATTAACATCCACAAAACATCTCAGTCAAAGTATATACATCCTATTATAATGAATATCTGTTTACTTGAACTCGACTAGCTTTCAGTGTATTTGATATTTAGCTAACAATGAGTTATAGAACTGTCATTCCGTCCTATTTAGCATTGTATGTATATGCAACTTAGTGTTGACGATTACGCTGATACTCTTACATAAACGGTCATTAGGGATTCCACAGTTACACAAATATCATATATGCCAAAACTTATGACTAAACAATTTATCTAGATAATCTATTCAGGATAAACATATAGCAACAGAAACTGATCAATTATTGTCCTGAATATCAGTAACGGGAAATTACAAATTCCTACTAATTTTAATTTTGCTTCAGTTACTAGTCCAATGTGTCTAGATAAATGTGTCTCTTGTAGTCTGAAAGGCGACATTTTGTTTGCTTGTTATTCCAGTAGTTGTAACCTGATTGATCTTAGACAGTTTGTTGAATAAACACATCCTTGTGTGTATGTAGTGTAGTATAATAATTGATCTCTCTCTGTTTATCTTTTGTATCACATACATCTGCCTTATCTTAACTCAGTGTTTTATAGATTATTTAGCCGTTCGAGTATTGTTTGTCATCAGGCGATATTCTGTCTAACCTTTTTATAGTACAGTCTGTGATGTTCAGCTTATTTACACTATATTCAAATCGTGTATCAAACAGAGTGAGGCTGTACCACGCAAAAATTCTTACTTTCTCACTTCACGGTTGCCAAGTGTAGTCTTCAAAAATAAATTATTTTCGTAGGTTGATGGGTTTTTTATCGTAGATGCCTTCGATGCATTGCTTGCGTTTATTAGAATCTTCGAGCTAGTAATGATGAGACTAAGCGCAAAGATTAAGGTAAAAATGCCAGATCGATTGATAAGATGGTGAATTTTCATAGGCTTATATGGTTTGGACATTTATTACATATGCTCAACTACCGCTTATCTTAACTAACTGATGTTGAAACTAAATACACTATTATTTCAATCATGTGTGTGCTACATTCATAGATTAAATGGTTACTGTTATGGTGATATTAAATATCTGTCTGTTTGTGTATACGTGACGGTTGTAGTCAATATAAATAATATTGATCTAAGCTTATTAGCCTCATGCCTCTATCACTAACCTATAGTTAAATATGTGTCAAAGTAAATAGGTGAGATATTATGTCTTTGTTTCTAAAATTTATTATGTCTATGCTTGTTGTTAGTGAGCAAAAAGAAGGCTAAATCAATTTGTAGGTAACAACAACAATAAAATTCTCTTTATTGATCTTTGTGCCAAATGAACTCTTGTTTATTTTATTGTTGAATACTTTCTCATTTAAAATGAACTAATTGATTATCCTGATGTTTCATGATACTGTTTTTTTTTTAAATTTTAAAACTTCGATATACACATATATAAACACAATAATTGATTTTATCTATATTGATATGGTGTAATATGAGCGCTAGTCGTTGTATACTTCTCAATTCATTTATGTAATCTAATCGTGAATAGGTGCTATAGTCCATAATGCCTCACTTCTATATCATAGATACCAACTTGTCCCATGGTAGACAGTGACCAACGATTGATTCATGCGCCATATGTTCCCTCAAGATGCTGGAGCCCATGTGCAACATTGGTTTGGAATCAGGGTTTTCCAACTCCCCTAGGTGGACTTGCTGTGTCCACCAACCCCTTTAAAATGTCGGACATTCGCTTTTCGTCCTTTCAATTTTGTAAACAGTAGCAATGCCACGAGAAGGCAGTGAGTAGGACTTCCCTGACAGTGTCCATGTGAGAGCATTTGGAGAGGGAGAGCGGACTATCCCTACTCTCGGTCGTACCAGGTCATTTGGGGGCACTTGTAATTGTTATATTACACTGAATATTTATCTAAACTCTAGGATATTTTTTGTGTTATTATTATTAATGAATGATCATGAAGTCTGCGAAAATATATGTGAAGAGAATTGTTGATCGGTAGATAATGTGTAAAATGATACGCATATAGCCGAGCGATATTTATTTAAACACATAAATATTGATACAAAGGGGCACCAGATTTATATGCGCCACATAAATCTCATTTAATTCTTGTGAGGGCTGTAAAACTGCCCGGGTGCCCAAACCGAAGACTACTTGTCAGCAGAATACTTTTTTTTCCTTGGCCGAATTTTATGATTTTATGCAAAACACCGAACGCAAAGTTAAACATTATTAAAGGTGACTGAAAAGTCTAGATTTCACAGGTCACTTGTATATACCACAGTGAGTTTAGGACCCGATTATCAGACTTAATTCTCGCCTGTAAGCAAGCTTCATCATGAACTGATCTCATTTGGATGACGAATTAAACTTAATGACTATTGGACAGTTGTTTTTTCTGTAAAATTTAGTTAAGGGTTTCTCAACATCGCTCACTCATCATATGCAAATGATATAACTGTAATTATTAGTTTTAACATGAAATCTCCGACAATTAAGTCAGAAGCTCCAATCTTTGTGGTCAATCAATATAGGGTGACGTTGGAACAGGAATTGCTGTATATCACAAATTAATTCTCGTTGTAAATGATAACGTTTTGGTTGTTATGATTCGATATGACATATTTAGTAAATATTACTGAGAAGTCGTCTGCTTCTTATGTAGCAAAATTGAATAAATCCTTCGAGGTTTTGGTAGTCAATAATTTCCTTCCCATGCTTTACTTTACCTTGGAAGTAAATGTTTATTTGATTTAATGATTCGTGCTTCCACTCTTGGATTTTGAGTTTTGCTTATGACTACTAACTAACTTTTGTTCTACACATTGAGGTTGTCCTCTGCTATCTACACTCTTGTTAAAAATCGTATCACCTTTTACATGTATTCAGAAGACATAACTTCCAATTTCTCACTTAATCAATCATGATTTTCAAAACTGTTAATTTTTATTTCAGTTTCCGACTTTTATACATCACTTCATGTCGCCTATTTTTATTTTATAGATGCTTTGTCTGTGATTAATCGATTTCTAGATGATTCCACTTTTGTCACCAATCATCTAAAAATTGGTACCGATGACAGCAATGATGCTATCACTGATGATAAAGATTTAATATTTCTGCGTAAATACTTGAAACACTCATCCTTACGTCATTGCTTCAATGTAAGTAATGTCATCGTCACGTTGTTTACTCTGTTTGTTTTTAATCAAAATTCAATAATACCTTCCCTGACGCAGTGTGACTTTAAAAAAGACCATTTAAGACTAAAGAGTACTAGACAAGTGTAGTATCCTAGTTTAAGACTCATTAGCAGTCAGTTATTTATAATCAATTGAGAGCCTAAAATAAATGTGCATTGCCCCAAGATCTCATATTACGTTAGCATGATGAGATGAAATTAATAACTGAATTTATATAATGTTGTAGCAATCACAATTAGGAAGACTAAACATTGAAAATATAATTTGAACTGACCCTGTTGGAAGGTAAATATGAAGAAATACTAGAACCCATGATCGTAATCAAAGTTAAGATTAAGTGTAGTTATTGTAATCTGTCGTGAGCCGTCATCCAATGTCTTCAGCTTCTAATTGAAGTTATCGTGATGACCCCAGTCGGGTAATCGTTGTCCACCAACCTGCATCTGACTAACATTTCATGAACAGATACCACCTGTGTACACTTACAAACTCCTCATAAAATATTAAATTAAAATCCTAGGATTTGCATTTATAGTTTCGATTAATTCATGATATTGCTCGAAAACCGTCTGTTCTCGTCGATGATACCTGTCTCACTAACCGGAGTTAGACATATGAAACATTGAATGCAGATGTAGTGATATTCTTAGATAATTAAACTGAAATATATATTAGTCTATATTTTCAGCTTCAGTCAGTTTTCATGATATACAAAAATTACAATCCAGTACATTATAGTCTATGTGAGTTTATGATGCAAACTATAGAATTCAGCAAATCTTCAAAAATAGCTTAACTGAACCAGTCATTTACTTTAGACGATAGCGCATTACTCTTGAATTGATCACTATTAGGTCCAAGTTTCAGTATAAATATCAACTATATGATGCAAGTAGATTAAGCTGGCGATTACCGAGTAGGATGAAATGCACATCCTGGCATCCATCGCCAGCCGCAATCCTTATACACTAAAACTGGAATCAATCATTACTAAGCTATTATAGTATAGTGCCGTAACTTTTATGAATATATATTTGCCTGTTTTCATTTCAAATATCATTTAGCTAATTGACTGTATTGGTGATAATGACTCAAAGTCAATTATTGAGCGATTACGACCTCCTCAGCAGTTATTAAGAAATAGTTTAAAAGTCTTATCAGAGTTATGGTCTGATTTAGAAGAATTTGTTATGCGTACTCGAGAAAAAGATGAACCACATGCTCATGAACTTTACGACCTACTGGCTGATGTTCATATTAGAGTAAGTCTCTTTTTTTGTTTCTTTTCACATTAATTTTTATTGTGTTGGTTAGCATTTTTTGTTGAGTACATACATCCAGGATCTGAAATAGAATGATGCCTTTCGTTAAAGGTCTTCAACGGAAGACCCCGTTCCTAGGTTCCATGCTGGTTTGCGTTCATCAACAGAGTTATTAGGTGTAGGAAGGATTTGAAAGCGACCAACTTGGTCTCGTGTGCAGTTAAGGGTATGAAGGCTAGTATCACTTCCCGTGGAAGGGTATTTCTTGAGGGACCTGAAAAAGAAGTTGGATTAGTGTTGGTCTTAACGACCTGGGAGCGTGCCCGCAGTGCCTAACGGACAACTGCTTGAGGCCGGTCACGCACGGCCTTTTTGTGGGGGATTTTTCACGTGTTAGCTCCATTCTTGAAAAATCCTTACCGCCGGAGACTGGAATCCGTGGGATAAGGCGAGGTGCGCATTTTTAGGGTCAACCTTTTCTAACCCCACCCCTCCTTGTGGGAAGGCAGCATCGCTGTCATGCTGGTTGTCTGAAGGAAACACCTTACTGCTTTCACACCTCTGTACAGTCAGCAGTACGACTTCGCCTTCGGACCTTGGGATAGGGAGTGAAGTAGTTGAGCGTGTTGGCAGCTTCACTTATCTTGGGAGTCTCATCAGCCCTTGTGGTCTGGTATGTGACAAAATCTCTGCACGGATACAGAAGGCTCGTCTAGCTGTCGCCAACTTGTGTCATTTATGGCGTAGGCGAGATATCCGTCTAGCAACCAAAGGACGGGTTTACTGTGCAGCAGTTCGCTCCGTCCTACTTTATGGCAGTGAAACATGGCCGATAAGAGTAGAGGATATTCGTAGGCTACTAGTATTTGATCACAAGTGTCTTCGAAGCATTGCTCGTATATCCTGGGACCACCGGGTAATTAATGCAGTTGTTAGGAAACGGTTACTAGGTAAGGATGGCAAATCGATTGATGAAGTAGTGAAACTTCATCAGTTGAAATGGCTGGGACATGTGTTACGTATGCCCGACCACCGACTGCCCCGACGTGCAATGTTTCATGGTGTAGGAGTAGGTTGGAAGAAAGCTAGGGGTGGCCAGACCAAAACGTGGCACAAATCAATGAAGTCACTGACAAGTGGACTGGGCCATGTTGGTAGGTGTAGACTACCTGGTTGGGATTCGCGAGATGACATCAACCGATGGTTAGAGACCTTGAATGACATGGCTCAAAATCGTTTGCAATGGCGAAGGTGCATCCACTCTTTGTGTTCTACCAAATTCTAATCTTCTGAATTCCTCATGTCTTTATCTTTTTCTCTTTCCAAATTTATTTCACTGTACTATACTCCTTCAATAATTTCTTCAAACCCGAATTTTTTGGATTTCTGATTATACTCCTACTACTTCTACCACTATGGGATTTGAATCGACAACTTCATCTCTCTGCTAATGTGGTATGGCAACTCGAACTGATGTACGTACGTACGAAGTTCTACGTTGTGACTGACTGACTGACGTTCATCAACATGACGTATCTGCATTATTGAAAGATTCAAAGACATGAAACTCAGCTTCATAGTTCCATGGTATTCCAAGCACCCTGATTTCCTAATATCACATTCATCGACTTTGCTGTTGATCTTTTCTGACTGCTGCTTGATTGGACCATTAGTTCTTTTATTAATGATAAATCATAAGCTATATGAAATCTAAGTCCAGAACATTCTTTCAGCTCTTTTCAGTGTTGTAGAAGCAAATAAAAAGCAAAGTGTTATTGGAGTAGTCACCTAGCTCAGATGACACACAACAACATGATCAATGTAGAACATAATCAAATTTAGGCAATAAATTACATGATATTAGTTATTCAGTGACATATTAGTGTAGACTGATCTCCTCTCTGTTGATAATGCGATATATATCAGGTTTATTTTGTTGATTGTATTACTATTATTTTTCAATGAATTATTTTACGTTTGTGTGTTTTTTCTTTGAATTACTCCAATATGTTGTAGGAGCTGTTGGTAGCTTACGATGATATTGCTAATTATCGATATGTTAATGAAGATTTCAATTTGACTATTATTCCTTTCGAGGTAAGACTTATTAATAACCCTGATTGAATTGATACCCTCAATAATATTTGCTTCTCTTCATTTCTTTTAAGGATAATGATCAATTATTATGTAAGAATTCTGATAGTAATCTCCTCAATGTACAGACCTCTTCAAAATTAGGGACAGGGACAGAAGAAAATGAAGAACATTATAAATTATCCAATCGACATGACGAAGCTCACTCCATGAATGTTCATCTAAAAAATCCTCACCACCACCATCACTACAAACCTGATCTATCAGAAAGTTCCATGGAATCTTTAGATTATAAATTAAATCATACAGAATCAAATCGAAATTCATACAATAATGATGATTTACTTACTAAGGAAAATTTTGGACAATCGAAAACTCATTCAGTTCCAAATGTTAATCATGTGAACAAAATCAATACTTCAGTTAATGTTGACGATAATCCTCCTGCTGATGATAATATTGAAAATGCCCAATGTGTGAATAAAATAAATCATTTGGATCGTGATAACAAACACCAGTTTGATAACTCACATCGATCTGTTTCTGAAATGATTAATCAATTTGAATTATCAATCGAGAAAAATCAAATAAATTATTCTAAGGATAAAAATGTTCATGAATCATTAGAATGTTTAGACAGGGTACCGTCATCTATGCCTTCGGATACACAAGTAAGTTAGTCATGGTTTATTTTTTTGGGGGGGGGGATTTCTTAATCTTCAAAGGACTATTATTATTTGAAGTCTGATGTCAGTTCTTTCGAGCAAAAGATTTATCAGAATGTCGTACAACTTCGCTGACGATGAACAAGATCTTTCATTTATAGACTGCGCAAAAATACATATATCTTAACTATGTTAGGTGTTTATACGGATAAAATTTTATTGGTAGAGTTTGGAACCAGGAGTCTATCTTTACTTTTAAACACCTTAGATTAACCATATCTAGAATATTGTATATTGGACGTCTGTTACTCGGACAATCTTTGTTTAAAACTATATTCCTAGGAAACTAAATATGTCAAATAATTTTGGTATTTTTCATTCAAATACATTGCCATTCACAATTGTTCTGAATTTCTTTTCGTATGTAGTAATACTTTTATAAACTATCCAAGAAAAATAAACAGCGTCTATCTCCTTGATCACTGAATGCACCTCATAGTTTCTTTTTTTATAATAGAAAGATATACTTAAATTCATTTAGTATTGTTTGTTTGAATCTTCCCATCGATGTGTTAGAACTGCAACTAGTCAGTCTTTAATTGGCATATGTACATACTGTGCGTATTGCCTCGATATAGCCTTAATTCACAAGCATGGTAAGCAGAGATGGATAGTGGCTAGCAGTGGAATACTTTTGTTTTAAGTATTCGTTATTCAGTAAGTGATCCACAAATCACTCATACTCCATAAGTGGTAATTTCTAAGTCACAATACAAATGCTAAGTTTACTATTTGTAACTGTTCTCACTCCATAGTACCTAATAATCAGCAAATTTAACTCCTGTTTTAGGTGTGTTTTTAGTTGTCACTTTTTGGTTGTTCATACTATAGTAGGATATTTATTAAGGTATTAAACTGTATTAATAAGTAGTTTCGACGTTCTAGGAGAATGACTGTGGAGCTCAAAAGACATCTGCTTGTCTCTAATCTTTTTGATGTATTAGCTTCGTACTTTTCAGACCCTACTGTAAGCACCTGGTTTCTCTAGGACTAGGTGAGGTGTTAATTTTAGAGCCGATCTTTTTGAACCCTACTTCAGCTAGGGAAAGACATCATTGCTAAGGATGCTGTTTATCCGTGAGTAACATTACATGGACCCTAGTTTTGGTAATTTCAGGCTTATCGCTCTCTAACCGACATAAATGACATAGTCAGTCTTCAAGGAATCGGTCGGAACTATTTCTCAGAAATTGGTAATTTTTTGCGTAATTTGATATGACTCACTAAGCGTAAGTTTTTGGACTCAGTCTTTAGCTATACTTTCTTACACAAGACCAAATAACATTAAAATATTGCTCAGACCAAAACAGATATCGGAAAGTTTGAATCTGGGATCTAATGGTTGTAACTTTATTGCTATAAACCATGGCTTTTATTTCTGGAGCAGTCAATTATTTTCATCTGTCTTTGTAAAAAAACCAAAAAATCGGGAATTCACCTTGTTCACAGTTCACAGTGGGGATGACTCAATTAGAGTACACCTACTTTTGAAAGCATCCCATAGGATGACTTTAGAAAAACTGTTAAGTGTACAGTATGTGATCTGTTTGACAAGTTGAGAATACCACTAATAAAGCTTTGATTAATGAAGAAATAGATCAAACTAAATCAAATACTAACTGATTGTTTGTATTGCTTGTGACTACCAAGAATTTAATGGAATCAGTTTATTTCACAAGAAAATACAGATCAAGATGTCTTCATTGAGGCAGTGGATCAGTGATTAGTAATTGCAAAAAATAAGAAGTGTTGTAAAAGTTCACAATCTGTAATGAAGTTGAAATAAATAAATAGAAGTAGATGGTAAAATTCACTTGTGTAAACCCTGAAGTTCACCTGGTTAGCATTTTTTATAAGGTTCTTTTCTACGGGATCAAGTTGCTAACCTCAGGCCCAAACCTCTTCCTTTATCTGGGTTTAGGACTGGCAGTAACTATAGAGGGTTTTCAGGTAGAGTTTATATTGTTCAATATGTTTTTTTTTCAAATTGTAATATTTTTATTTGAACTCGATCCGGCCGCTCAAACACAATTACCTGATGAGTAGTGAGGTTTGAATCAAAAACCAAACCGTATTCCTTAATTACTAAACAATCACTGCACATACTATTGATATTATTTTTTATGGAACTGCTTGAGCATACTAACCTACATTCCACTATGTCATATACTTTGATTCAAATAACTGGATAATATTCGAAATCTTCATATCATTAAGTTTTGAGACCTTGAATGACATGGCTCAAAATCGTTCGCAATGGCGAAGGTGCATCCACTCTTTGTGTTCTACCAAATTCTAATCTTCTGAATTCTTCATGTCCGTATCCTTTTTCTCTTTCCAAATTTATTTCACTGGATTATACTCCTTCAATAACATCTTCAAACCTTAATCTTTCACATAATGCTTATACTCTTACTAGTTCTACCACTATGGGATTTGAATAGACAACTGCATCTCTGTGTTAATATGGTATGGCAACTCGAACTGATATACGTACGTACGAAGTTCTACGTTGTGACTGACTGACTGACTATCATTAAGTTTGAAGCTGTAAACTTTTATTTAGTTAAAAAGTTACATCACTCAAAGATAACAATCTTACTAAACTACTTGTGTATTCATTTATGTATAACAATCAACTATTTCGCTTTATATATTTTCTTCCGAGAATTTTAATTAACTACTGAAATATCTTCATTGAATTAGTAATTGAAGGAGTTTAATTGTTAAAACATTCGTTTTCATATTCAAACCCTACTCCATATACTTTGGTTTAAGCAGTGAGGTGTTAGTATCGCTAGCTCTCTTATCTAAGTGTTTAACTTAAAGTTGAACACACAAACGTATATGTTACATTTTTAAAGTATCGAAAGATCTTAATTACAGTGTGGATTCCGTGTATTGTATCACTTTTTTTCTTCGTCTATAGAAGCCTACTTCTCCGAAAACTATTCCTGAAACTGTTAATAGGCAGTCTGAGAAGAGACATTCTAAAACTTCAAAGATAAAATCACCGAATAATTTGTTTCCTAAGACTCATTCTAATTCAAAACCGGGTAGTCCTGCTATTTCTCCAAAGAAAATATCTACAACAAAACAACAACGAAAAATAAAAGATTTTCATGGTTCAGATAATACCTTACGTTCATCCGATTCTAATCATCATCACCATCCATCTAAGCCTTTTCGAGATTCACTTGATGGAACACAAAGCTTGCCCAGAAATCATGGTCAAACACCTAAAGAATTAAAAGATAATCATAATTACCATCATCGTGAAAGTATTCATCTGAAATTTCCACAACCAGGTGTACCAAGAGTAGTTCATTTAAGACGTGACCATCCTGGTGAAAATTTAGGTATTACTGTAGCATTATGTACACCATCACAGACTACTTCTTCATCACCACCAACAAGCTTCAATGGAATTACCATAAAATCAGTAACAGAACCGATTATATCTATTCAAAGAGTGTTAGCAGGTTCATTAGCTGATAGACAAGGTAAGAACTGATGGATGTAAACATTTATTGAGTTTCAGTATTTCTTCTTTTGTGTATAGAACTTCAAATTATTATCTGATAAGTAAATTTTGATGTGTATGGTACTGGTTTTTGACTACATATGTCTTCAATGCAATGATACCATATATTGAAAAGACTGAGTAAACAATGCTGTGGTTTAGGTATTTGGTGCTGATTGAAGATAACGAATGGATTTATGGAGTTGTAAATTTTCATCTATTGTGGCGACCGAGATATGTACTACATATGCCCGACTATTCCATGCCCCTACTCGTTATGTTAATTGATGTAGTTGTAAGTTGGAAGGAAGAGAAGGGAGAGCAAATGAAAATGTGATAACAATCCATCAAGTCATTAACTATTTATCTGACGTGTGTAAGTAGACGCAGTCTAATTGATATCTGCACGATAACTACTGTCAGCAGTTAAAGGCGTTGGATGAGAGCTCAGAAGTGGTCACAATATTCCTTCATACATATCCTCCTTTAATTCATTCTTTTCGAACCATTTTATCAATTTTCGGTATTCATTATTAAAATTGTTGCTTCATTATTTTGAATTTTTTACTGATCATCATTTCGTGGTAATATGGTATGACGTTTTGAGCTAACACGTTTGTCTCAGGCTATATGTTGATGATGACTGACTGAATCTAGTCTTGAAGCGATTCCACATGAAATAAAATCGATGATTTTCACGTTTCGTGCCAAACACAATTTTTTACCTTTATTTATTTATTTGAACACATAAATATTGGTACAAGGAAGCACCAGATACATATGCGCCGCACAAATCTCATTTGATTTGTGTAAGGGCTGTGATACTGCACGGGTGCCCAAACTGAAGCAGGTGGTTTTCGTTGGGGGGCCACACCCGGAACCTTTTACCTAAAGGTCTGATCCACAAGGCAGTGAAGCATCGTAAGGAGATGCAGTCCCATGGTAGCCAGTGACCAACAATCGATTCATATGCCATTTGTTCCCTCGGTGTAATGGAACACATGTGCACCATTGGTTTGAAATCAGGGTTTTCCAACTCCCCTAGGTAAACTTACCGTGTCCACCAACCTGGTCAAAATGCCGAACATTCGCTTTTTGTCCTCTCAATTTTGTAAACAACAGTAGTGCCACGAGAAGGCGGTGTGTAGGATTTCCCTGTCAGAGGCTATATACGAGTGACCATGTGAGAGCATTTTGAAAGGTAGAGCGGACTTTCCCCACTCTCGGTCGTACCAGGGCATTTGGGGGACACTTTTATTTTACCTCAACTGAGTCAAATACCAATAGCTCACATTTCTAAGTGTAGACAGTTTTTCACATACGATGTTAACAATAATTATAAATCTATCAACCACAACGTCTCATTGAGACCTTAATGATCCATTTTGAAGCCAGTTGTTCGTGTGAGCACGTTATCAGGGTAATAAATAAATTTTTCTACTGAAAATAGGTAACAGATTTCTATCTATACTGCAGTTCACACAGTTATTTTTATTTACAATCTATTAATAATTGTATGCTAAGATATTTCTTTGTCACTTTTTTCACTTTTGATTTACCCCAGTTAATTCACATGCAGAGTATGTGCGCGCTCTCTCTCTCACACACACACGAGCAAACGTGTATATCTTGCATAAATCACGTATACTGTACTATGTGTATGTGTATATTGTCTCTTGTTCATTGTTTAGCAAAACAATAAATCTAATTTAAATGTTTTCGGTTAGATATTGTTCACATGTAGAATACAGCGTTTATTTCCTTTATTGAACTATACCGCCTTCTTTAAATGTTTATGTGTACACATGTATAGCTATCTGTATGAGAATGCAGATATTTTAATTTAAACGCATAGATTATAATTATCCTTTTTAAGTAAATAATAGATATATAATATAATATAATCTCGCGTGGCGGGATCGTGGATGCTCACTGCTGAGGAGTCCCACAATAGAACGAAACGGCCGTCCAGTACTTCCAGGTTTTCCATGGCAGTCTAGCTTCAATTGACTCATGATTTCAACTACATAAAATAATATATTTCTGATATATTGTTGAATTGATAGGGATGGATAATTATACAATCAAATGTCTGATTATTGAATCCAATTTATTTACTGATAAGTTATTTGAGTATAATTTTCTAACAAAAAATGATCATTGAGGGACTGTCTAGGCTAATTATTGTTTTTAATACCCCCTTCTTTTTCATATTCTCTACAGTAATCATTTCTTAAATATTGTATTATACCATGAAAACGGTTTATTTCAGTAAGAATATAGAGACGAACTTTTATCATATTTCAATGTTATTGGCTGGCAACTATCTCCAAAGTTAGATGGCTCACTGCATCGCTTGAAAAGTCTTGGGTCCGATCTCCTGAGGATCCCTTTTTAATGATTAACAACCATGCAATCCTTCCTAATTTTATTTATCCAATATCATTTCTTGATGTAAATCGGAAAATTCTCCACAAACTCTCTATAAAATTAATTAATCCAATGTTGTTCTCCACTAAAAAGCGAATACTCTAGTTGTTTGAATTCCATACATTCGCCCACATATTTACTTACATAATCACTCAACTTTGCCCATCGATAGCTCATTTCTGTACATAAAATTAAGTCAGCCACTATAATGGAATTCACTACTTTCGTCTACCGATTATCACAAAGTTAACACTAGCTGTTTTTATAATGTAAATGAAATTCGGTTTTATTCTATAACATTTTTCGAGATAAATTCACTTAGTATAACTTGTTTGAATCTTCTCACTGATGTTTAAGACTGCAACTGGTCAGTCTCTTAATGGCATATGTGCATACTGTGCGTATTGCCTCGACATAGCCTTAATTCACAAGCATTATAAGCAAAGATGTGTCTAGCAGTGGAATCCAGGACGCGCGTTTCGTCCTATTTGGGACTCGTCAGCTGGATGTATCTGCGTCTCAGAGTTGATGTTCACTCTGGGACTCGAACCCAGTACCATTCGCTTCAAACGTCATTGCGTCTGCTGCTACTGAGTCCTGATAGTCAATTGCCATCTTTGCTTACAATTTTTGGAGATATCCTAAAATAAGTTGACTTGTAAACATTGAACCGAAATTAATGGTAACTATATATATATATATATATATATATATATATATATATATGCATGCATGCACACTTACATACATACATCATGTCACGCTGATTTATGCTGCATTGATTTTCCGAGCCGTAAATATTATCAGTATATTAATATTTGTGACAGACACGCATATGTTTGGTTATGTATCTGTAGTACACAAATATTGAAAGTGACATTTTTGTAAAATGTAATTTTCACAGATACATTCAAAATAATATTTGATTAAGTAATAGGTATTATGATTATTATTTCCTTCATTTTACATGGCTACACCTCATCACATCAAGAGACTTACTCAATTTTTATGTTGGTTTGTTCTCTGAGCTGGATGGTTTGGTCGTGGAGCTTTCATCGTCCTTCTGAACGACATCATCAGCACAAACTTCGGGTAGAAGTGAAGTGTTTGAATTTTCAATTTTCGCATAGGTATCAAATGTAGTATTAAGCCGAAGTATCTAGGTGACCATTGACTTCGATTGTATTATTATTATTATTATTATTATTATTATTATTATTATGCCTTTGTTCATTGAATCTTGGGTTAATCGATCTTTGAAAGTTGAAGCATTGACATTTATTGAATGAATAAGGTAAGTGTCGACGATAAAATTTAGTAGGATTGGGAGGAAATAAATTATTGTACAACTACTACATGGTATTCTACTATAAAGATGTTAATGTGTATAAAGATGTATCCCGGATATCTCGTTGATAATGTTTCTGACTGTGAAACTGATTGATACGGCATCTGCCAGGAAGCATCATTTCCTTTAAAATTACAGGTAAACCTTGCCGACAAGTGCCAATTAGGCTTAGTGTTTCCTATCGGCTACCTATAACCACCACCTTACATCTCAGTATGGTGCACTGATCTTGATTCACTTAGACTAATGGACACACTGGAGCTTGATCAATTCGATAAACTCTAAGATAGATTTAATATGCATGATATTGGTCACTACTCAGTGATCAATTAATTGTAAATTCTTGTCTCCTGTTATCGAATCGAGTGAAGCATTCAATATTCAACAATTGTCACAAATTCATGATGCTGTTCATCTAATTCAACTTATGACATTGAATATTATCGCTTACTATCGCATATAAATTATAACAGAGTAGTCGATAGTCAAAGAATGACTTTTAACCTTCTGAGTCACCGGTCAGGATTCTAATTGTAGGTAGCTAGATAATTTATTATCAACCATCTACAAAAAGTTGTTTAATTTTAGATGGATCACGAAAAAAATTACCCAAAATTTATCCAATCTGCACAACCAGCTGACTTAAATAATAATCATATCTTCACTGGTTGCGGACTCCTTATAAAAGGTCGTAATTGATTATGTTCAACCACTGCACCATCCAAGTCGATGTCCTTATTGATACCTTGGATGATCATTACTCTACATTAAACTTCATTTATTTTAAGATTCTTATTCCATTTAGTGTAAAAATATCGTGTTTCACACGAAAACCTAATGCTTTTATTTTCACTCCATTCGGAATCATAGGTTGACACTACTTTCAGGGTGTTCCATACTGAAGCATGGTAAGCTCTGCAGTTTTCAGTTTTTCTCCTATAGAAATCACTCATATATAGGTAATGTGAGCCAATATTCATAGTCTTGATGTTTCTTTTGTAATATATCAATTACTATCATTATTCAGTGTATAAGCATATATTTGCATTGATAATTATGGTAAGTATTAGATTTTCACAGTTTGAATCATGAGTCGATCTAAACTTTATCATCATTGGAAATATGGAAGCATCGAACAGCCATCTCGTTCTGGTATGGGACTCCTCAGCAGTGCTCATCTGGGACTCGAAACTAGGAACCTT